ATTCGCACGCTGAATTTTTTTTGTTATACAGTCTATGCTCAATACAGAGAACTTTTTTTATATTCAAATAAATACTTGACCATGTTTGATACTCAATACATAGTGGATTTTTTTTCAATTTCTTAATCAATTAGATTTATATAGTTTTGAAACAGAGTAGTAGAAACGTTATTATGTTTTCAGGATGTCGTTTTTTAGTTATACAATTTTCCATTGAATTTTTAGTTAGTTATGTATGTATGGAATTTTTGAATATTTAAATAAGGAAAAAATTTCAAAATTACATTTATTTGGTATCGACTGTAAAAATATACATAAATCTTCGTTTTTGGAAATTTTTAATTGTTTTGCTCGTCATTATGCTGAAATGATATCAAAAAATGTTATTTTAGTTTATTTGTTTGTTAAATATATAGAACAAAATTCAGAAATAAAAAAATGAATGTCACTGTGCAATAGCATTTTGTCTGGTGGAATATTTCTTTTGGCGAAGAAAGCTCGTTATTTGTATATTTACTGTCCTTATTTGTATTGTATTATGTTCGGGGACCTTAAGTGTATGCCATTCATTTTTATGCTGAATCATAATGATCGGAATTTGTCAATGAAATTATATACAGTTTATTTTTTGTTTAAACTGAATATATAACGTATTAGGAACGTATTCGTGGACCCAAATGCATTCCGATTCGGTATGCATTAACAACCTGGAGTAACAGTTATGGAGTGATGACAACAATAACAAACATTTTTGTAAATTATTTTTCTTCTCTTTTAAATCTTCAAATATATATGTGCAAAGTTAATCGAGAATGGGTGGGGTTCCCTTAAACCACAGTTTCTAACAACGTTCCACATGTCCTTTGGACCTGTACATTTTTCGAAAAGTTGAGAATGTGCGTTTCTCTTCAGTTTTCTTTTGAGATTCTTTGTACGATTCCTTAATTTGCATTAAATTTTCGATCTATCCTCAAGGAAAGTTTTGTACGCCAGATCAGTTAGAGATTCGCTATAACGGACTTCTGGACACCGTATCCAATTATCGCTGGTGTAGAAAGAAATATTTTGTGAATACAGTTTAGTCTTAAGTAGGCTTAATTGGTCATTAACACTAGATGTAAGGAAGATTCTATCCACACCGGAACTATTCACCGTCACTGCAGTAATTGCTATAATCAATGAATTCATGAAAGGCTTCATTGAGCCTCAGAGGACATTTAAAAGACAATAAAACAAGTGCACGTTTCAAAATATTTGGGCATAATACTTGTCCAGAAAACTACAGAATTTTTCTGCGATACTAAAAAATAATCAATTAACCCTTTGACGTATCAATTAGCGCAACGAAGTTCGCATCCAAATGTTAGCACACAACATGCACTAAGTAAACCGGTTTTGATGCTTAAGAACAGCCGCAAAACGAAACGAAATGTGAAAAAAAAACTATTTATTTTAGATTAGATGTTGAGCACGGCATCAACTAGTTTTATTCTTATTATTATGAGAATCGAATCATATTCATGTTAGGCACAGAAATTGTACCACGAGTCAGACTCGTAGAAATACGTCAAAGGGTTAATGATGTAGATTGGTGGAAAGTGTCAAAATGGGTTGGATAATTATTATGTATGATTGACAAGCCAATTCTAGAACTAGCTTGTCGAACAGAAGAAGCTAGTGAAATATCAACAGATTGTTATTAAAATCGCCCATTGTAATTACATTACTCTACTGTACAAAGAGATCTGGAAGTTCCTTCTCAAATTCAACAAAATTACTGTTAGGTAAATATACTACTCCTATTAAAAGATGTCTTAAATTCTCCACAATTTCAATAAATAAACATTCAACAGACACAGCTCTTCCCTCTATGTTGGTTATATTAAATACAAAGCATTTAATTCCACTTATTAGCGACAACACAAACTTCACTTTTTTGGATTTTTTTTTTGATCAGTAATTTTTACTACTAATTACTTTTGTTTTTTATAATTTCTTTAATATGTTGGTTTTTACCAATATATACAGTTTTGTATTTAAATTTTTTTGAAATTATTAAACCAACTCCTCCACCTCTGCGAACAGGTCTATCATTTCTACAGACTGAGTAACCAAAAATATTAAACATTGATATACCGATTATATCCAGATCACTATCTTCAACAATATTCTTGATTTCTGAAAGCTTTGATGAATTAGAAAAAATGTTTAAACTTTGAGAGTTGAAATGCATTAAATTTAGATTTTGCTTTATGCTTGAGAAACTATTGTGAAAAAATTGATTATCATGGACAATTTCGCCAATATTATTTAAATTCATAATTTGAGATAAAAAAAACTATATATAAGCACAGAAAATTTTAAAGATAATATATACGTTTAAAAAAAAAAAAGATAAGTTAAAGAAGATGAAGATGATGGAAACTACTCTCGTTCCATAATAAATTACATATTCGTTACAGGCGTTGATGCGATAAGCATCCCATCAGAGCCACCATGATCTGAAAATTCAGCACATTGGTATAAGTGGAGAGTTCCTTCAGTGCCATTGGGGTAAACCACATACACTTTTGGCAAGTCCGAATTTTTTAGTTTATACTTTACGATCTTCTCTTTTAAATTTGCGGCATAAATACAACAACTTAGAGGCAGCTTCGTGCAAGTGGTCATTAAGATATACTTTATTTCTGATATCACCACCAATTATATCTGAGAGAATTAAGTGACAATTGTTGTGGTAATTCGCCATTATGCAGTCCCTTGTATAAACACAATTAAATTTAACCAACTGTATTGGTTAAATTTAATTGTGTTTATACCTTCCTTCCTTTTGTCATATAGCAACAATGTTGAATATCCGATGAACTAAGATTTACTTTGCATTAAGACGCTATTTTGATAACCGGCTCTCGAAGATCATGAATACCATCAGGTAGCCCATTAATTACATTATCCCCCCTATTTAATCTCCTGCGTTGTATTTCGTTTTGAATTTTCTTGGCATACATTGCCTCAAATTGTTTGTTAACAGCAAAACAGTTTTTTACATCCTCCACAATTTTATGCATTTTAACGTCGAATTCATGTTTAACGGCTTCTAAAATTTCATCCATTTTAGTTTTAATGCCAACAATTTGATTTTGTATGTCATTAGAAAATTCTGTAAAACGGCTCCACCATTCTTCACATAGATCCACTGAGTTCTTAGTATGATCATCCGTTTTGTTATGGATGGAGCTGCTGTTTTTGTTCTGGTTAGCGCATTTGGTGCATCTGTATAGAAACATTTTACTTTTATGGAGAAAGGAATGCTGCTCTTTGGTAACTTTTACACATGCAATATGGTAAAAGTCATCACATAAAAAACAACCAATGCTATTTTCATTAGCCCTTACTCTTTTTAGGCACTTGGGGCATGTGTATATATTGGATGGCATGGTAGACATGATGTCAATCAATAAGCATATGCCAATTCTCTCAGTGTATAGAATTGGAATGAGAATAAACACAATTCTCTCAGTGTATAGAATTGGAATGAGAATAAACACCTACCGATATTGGTAGGTGTTCTTCTTCTTATTGTATTTCAACAAAGCATTTAATTCCACTTATCAGCGACAACACAAACTTCACTTTTTTTTTGATTTTCAGTAATTTTTACTACTAATTACTTTTGTTTTTTTTATAATTTATTTACTTTTTTAGTCTGGGTTTATACATGCAACTTTATTAAGCAACACTGATGTTGCTCTCTTCGATTCTCTTTTGAATTTCTTCCCCCTTGCCACTTTTTATACCTCTCTCTTTAAAGAACTCAGCAACTCTGCTTACAAAAGTTGCATGTGTAAACCCAGACTTACGGAGCGCAATTTTTTTTTACATGTTGAACATTGTATGGTTCTATAGTTCTATTTCGTCAGATTTTAGTAAAATAGTGCACCAAAGTCCCTTTATATCTTTCGATGAGCACAGAATTTGGCATAGCGCAACGAATTTAGTCTAGAATGATGTACTGGTAATATATATATATATATATATATATAATCGGCCCAGTCCGATTTTACTACTTTCCTTACTGGTTAATTTGTAATTCCGTTGGCAGCACCTTGTAAATTTTTTTAATAAGAATAAAAGCTATGCTCACACTATTTAAGATAGAGGTTTACATTGCCAATACCCCTAGGATGATTGGTATTGAAAATCTGATTTATCGGCCTCACATTCAACGGTATTCGGTATTTTGGGGATGTTGGGAACTTTTTCAATCGAATTGACTTAAAATTGGTATTTCGGGTTCCAAAAACTTTCAATATTGGTCAACTTTTTAAAGCAGCCCATATATAACGGTTCCAATTAAGCCTCGGTTTCCTCTTGGATACCCCGATCGATTTTTATGGGAATATACCGTTAAAGTTTTAATAATTTATTTTTACTAGTCATTAAATATACATATTTGTTGTTTTTTTTACTTTCCAGGTTAAACGTTTACGACAGCGTGTCGAAGAGCTCAAACGTGAATTGGCATCTGCCGAAGATGAATTGGATTCTGCCGTTAATCAAGTGCGTCGTTTGCAACGATCCAATGATGAGTTAGTCGGTCAAAATGAAGGTTTACAGGTTCAAATACAACATTTGCAAACAAGGTTTGAAATTATATAACAACTTATTTTACTGTTCGTATTTTGAATGAATGATGGCCATTTCACTAAACCCTCATTTTAACTTTTTTTAACATTTTTGGAATGCTGCTGGGTGTCTAATATTAATACGTACATTTCTAACATTCTCTCTGTTTCTATATAACTATTGCAAAATAACGATATATAACTATATATAATACACTAAATATTAGACGTATCCCCAGTCCCCAGTTACGTGGTGGTGGTGGTGGAAGCTATAATGGCGTTCAATTGCGTAGTAAAATTGCTGTTGAAATACCCAGTGATTGTTTGCCAAACATTAATGATTTACGGCAAATATTCGACGATGGACCATCACAGAGTAATGTTGTGGGTCTACGTCATTCCACGGGTGGTGGTGGTGGCAATGAAGCGTCCTCGTCGAAACGTTCCAGTCACACCGAACGTACACTCTTGCAACAACAATCGAGTAATTTTTTTGACGCCAAAACTTCACACGTTGAGGAGAATATCTTTGAATCGAAAAGTCGTAATTTGGAATTCGAAAGGGCAAAACAGAAATTTGACAATCCGTCGCATTTGCATCATCAACATCATCACCACCAGCGCGAACAACGTGAACGGTCATCTGGAAGACATAGTGGACAATCCACTACCAATAGCAATGCTTCCAATTCAAACACCAATGCTCCAAATAATCGAGCCAACCTAGTATTGCCACTGAAAACTAGCACAGTTATTGGAGGCACCAATATGAGTAATTCGAATTCTCCGAATCTGAATACAAACTCATCCAATCTTTCCAAAGACGATATCAATCGTCAATTGTTTGAGGATCATTCACGTTCTTCGACGGTTGGTGGTAGCGGTATTGGTGGTGGAAATGCTGATTCCAAATTATATGCCAAAGAAAATACGAACTCAGCTCCATCTGGAAATTATTCCAGAAACAGTATAAATCTAGATGGACTTAAAGTATCTGATGATGAGGTAAGTATTGTTGAAGTCAACATACTGTCAATTATGGAAGACACAAAAACATAAAAGCGTATTTACTTAGTGTAGTAAGTTTGGTAATATGTGTTTAAAAGTATTGTTTTTATTTTTACCCTACACAAAATTATAGGCGGCAAATACAATACGTACTCGAAGAACATACGAAATCGGTTAGATCGAATTTAAGGCCTTTTTTACAGTGTTTATTATGCCTGCTTTATAATTTAATTTTTTTACACCATTTTATTTTTTTTGTATTTTTTTAACAACAATTTGCTTATCTGATATATTTGTAAGTATGTATATTCATCTGTAACTAACAAATCTAAACAAATTCCCCATTCGCATTTTTATGTTAATCATTTTTTTCTTATTTTTCCTCTCATAGACTCCGTAATTATGGATCAACAAGTTTGCTACTCGACGAGGAAACCGAAGGAAACAGTGAATGAAAAATACATAAAAGTATAACGTAAAATTGCTGTATAATCATTTAATGGAAAGTTTGCTAAAATGGATCAATGGGTTTTACGCCAATCAAAGATGAGGGAAAGCAAAAGAAGAATTCTACAATCCATTGGCGTTTCAACATTATATTACATTTTAAGAAAAAAAAACATCTCTTAAGTATTATTTTAATGACAATGACAACTACCGAATACGTTTCCTTATCTACCTTTAAGTATTACAAAATTAGTTTGTAAATCATAACATTTCCATTTCACACGAAAGTGTTTGTGTGAGTATGTATTTTAATTATCATCAATCATTTAAGTGTCATTACATCATTTGATTCAATATTCATTAACATTCACAAACAAAATTACATATAACTTATATCAAGTATATTCAATAACTGCAGTTTATATTCTAATCAACATATTCAAAATATGTATGTATGTCTTGGAACCAATTCGAATAATGAATATACAATAAAACATTAAATTATCCACATTTTAGTGTATTGTTATCATTGCAATTTTCATCAAGCGTATATGAAAAGCTGTATGCAGAAACATTGTTTTGTTATTAATTAAGGGTGTATAGCCACATACAGATAACCAATTTTTCATAATTTTTTAAATATATCTATCAAAATTGTATAGAAAATGTCATTTTCGTCAGAACAGAATATTTGTTCCATAAGCCAAACTTAAAAAAAAAGATTTCTAGGCGCGCCGATATTTTACTCAATTTCTCCAAATTGAAAGATCATGCTTTTATATGTCATCCTCCACATGATCTTGCCATGCCTTTTGAGCTGGGTATCCTCATCCATTCGTACATGGCCTAGCCACCGTAGTCGCTGCGGCACGATACGACTGACTTTGCCGATGTCCCTCTATAGAAGGTAAAGCTCGTGACTCATTCGACGCCGATAATCACTGTCGACGCATCGGAGTGTAGATATTTCGGAGAATTTTTCTCTCTATCATTTTAAGAACAGCCTCATCTGCTTGCACAAGTACACATGCTTCTGATCCATACACCAGCACAGGTAGTATCAGAGATGGGGCCTTGTTTCTGAATTGTTTACATAGACCATAGTAGCATCTGTTGCTCAACACTATTCTCCTCCGAATTTCAAAAATAACGTCATTAGTTTTATTTATGGTGGTACCGAGGTATATAAAATCGTTGACTACTTCGAAGCTGTAGTTTTCAAGTTCCACAGTTGGTCCCAGTCCACTGGACGTATTGCCAGACCCACTTTGGAATTTGTTGAAGGCTTCTGTTACCGCTCGCAATGTTCGAACCAGGGATGGAAAATGTGAAAAGGTACCAAAAGAGAACTTTTTTAATAAAAGATTACTTTTTTCAAGAAAATAAAAAAAAAAAAAAACATTTTATTCAGTTTCATAAAGATCGATTTTCAAGATATCATCACTTAGTCTATCTTTCTGATGGAAATAATATGAGAATTCTTGCTTCTTTCGATAGCATTTGAATATGTATGCTATTGACTAATTTCTCGAAAGCCAATATACCCAAAACTAACACGAATTTCAGTTCCAAAGTGTTTTGAAATTATTGAAGTAATCACGACGACTATGAATGTCATCAATTTGCCTACCTCAGGAGATAGCACAGAGTACGCCAAATTGAGTATCTGACAAACATATCCGGTTAAAAAAGATTGGAACTGATTTCATTTCTGTATGACCTTTTCCTGCAGGATGTTCAAAAGGTCACACGTTAGGCTGTCACCTTGTCTGCGCCCTAGTTTGGTATTGAAGGTATTCGAGAGGTTCTTTCCGACTTTAATTGCTGACCATGTGTTGTTCGTGGGTCTTTTCCAGGATTTTGCACAGAGTGAAAATCTGGTATATGGTGTATTTGCCAAGTCTGAAGCCGCATTGGTATGGCTTCAGTCGTTCACACAGTACGCTGTATATCACTTTATATGCGGTTAAAAATAGACTAATCCCTCTTTTGTTTTCACGGGACACAGGATGATGTGATTCCAATCCAGCATTTGACCACCGGTCTTAAATAACTGGGTTGGTAACCCATCGGCACCTGCTGATTTGTTATTCTTCAGCCGATTAATTCTTATTCTGACCTCATCTGGGCTAGGTGGTATAATCTCTATACCATAATCTCTCGCTGGTTCTGGATTATTAATATATACACCCCTATTCCGTATGTCGTCGTCGACACGAAACGACGTCGAAGAGAGTCGTCTTTTGCAAATTGGTATTCCCTATGTCGTTGTCGACATTTATCGATAACTATTGAAACATTTTTGGTATTCCGTAACAATGTGTGACGACGACGATGTCGAAGATTTCTTCGTCATAGCTTTTGTTGACGACTGAAGCGTTTGAACACTTTTTTTTTAGAAATTAAAAAAAAACATGACCGGACAAGAACAGGATACATCATTCTAGAATCTATTCAATACTTAATGCAAAATAAAGTGTAAATAAAGAAAAATATGTGGGATCTATATATAAATCTGAACCGATTTTGACCAATGTCAACAGGAATCGTCTATGCGCCAAATAAAATTTCATCCCAATTGGATGCACTTTTCCAAATTTCATCCCGTTCGGATCATAATGGTGGCATGTAACTTGTTTAAAATAATACATGGATGGAGGGACATGCATAAATCGACTGAAAAATAATTCTATGTACCTATATAATAAAAAGTAACTATGGGTCTATCTCGTTTCTTTTTGGTCGTTGCAAACACATTTACCCTGTGCCACAGTGCGGTGAAGGATACAAACACATTTTTGCCCAAAAATATGCAAAAATTTTTGTTGTTTTTATTGATATTATCGATAAATAGTCGACATCGTCGCATGAGTGTTACAGAATACCAAATCATTGTCGAAGTTATGTCGATGTCGATGCGAAGTGATGTCGAAAGACAAACGTCGTCGACAACGATGACGACATACGGAATAGGGGTGATTGTTTTCTTCGCCGGCACTATTTGATATCAGAAGCTTTGAAAAATGCTCCTCCCAGACTCTTAACACGCTATCTGAATTTGTCAGCAGATTTCCACCTTCATCTCTACAGGAGGATGAGCCTGTACCAAAGCCTTCGGTTTGGTGTTTTACACGTTGTTAAAATTCCCGAACTTCGTTCTGACTCGATTTGCTGCCGACCCCGTTTTTATACCCTCCACCATAGTATGGAGGGTATATTAATTTTGTCATTCCGTTTGTAACTCATCGAAATATTCATTTCCGACCCTATAAAGTATATATATTCTTGATCAGGGTAAAATTCTAAGACGATCTAGTCATGTCCGTCCGTCCGTCTGTTGTAATCACGCTATCTTCTGAAGGAATTGAGATATGGTGCTGAAATTTTGCACACGTTTGTCTTTTGTCTGCAGGTAGGTCAAGTTCAAAGATGGGATATATCGGTCCACGTTTAGGCATAGCTCCCATATAACAGTACCTCCCAATTTTCGGTATTTTGGGGTTCTTGAGCGCGTTTTTCAACCGAATACGCTGAATTTTTTTACATTGAGTTCTTATTGGGTACTAAATGTCTCCACAAAAAATTATAAATATAGGTTCACTTTTTCTGGTAGCCCCCATATAACGGTACCTCCTAATTTTCAGTATTTTGGGGGTCTTGACCATATTTTTCCACCAAATTCGCTGCAATTTGGTATTTTGTAGTCGTATGTGGTAAGAAATCTCCCCACCAAAAATTATTAATATTCGCCCCCTTTTTGGGGTAGTCCCCTTTTTTATCAGCCTTATTCTGGATGTCAATTCCATGTGAATTTACTCGCTCTTTCCCTTCGCCTTATTCTGAACAACATTTCCCTGTGAATTTTTTCGCATTCTCGCTTTCGCCTTTTTCTGAATGAAGTTCGAAAGCGAAAAAATCCGCTTTGGGGAAAAATTAGGTATTCTGAATTACAGGGAGTAGGAAATTTTGTGCGAAATTTTTCGCTAATAAATTTAAAGGGAGTTGACTACAAAAACATACGTAATAACTATTTTTATGAAAAATATTTACACAATACTTATTCTATGACGATTTAGAATATTATAAATGATAATAAGCAAATTTTTAACTGGAAAACAACCAATAAAATGCCATTGGAAATCCCATTGATAACGATGCATGCTGAACCAAGTATTGCCAAGAAATGTATGAAGGTAATAAGGAATATTTAAGTCGAGTTTGATTTTTGGAGGCGAAATACAGACATTTTGGGTGAGGATCTGTCTCTCAAGAAAAAAATTTTAAAAATTATGGAAAACCCAAATTTGCCTTATGAGCCGCTTAACAGTGAAAAACTTAAATAAAAATTATGAAAGAACAAAAAAATTTTTTTTCAAAAGCAAATCATAACATAACAGGCCACTTTAAGAATTTGGGGAGATAAAACATCGGAATTAAATAAAAAGGCACACAATTATGTAGTGAAATAATAAACTGTGAATTAATTAATTAAATCGTTGTGTTTTTGCCATCATAAAAAAATGTTCTTTTATTTGTAATCTATTGTAGTTGTTGCACCAAATTGCATCAAAACAATGAACAGCTGTTTCACATGCCATATTGTAGGTTGCCATATTTTCAAACTTTAATTTATTTTCTTTTAATTACAAAGCATTTATACAGCGGATTCTTGATATTTCACATTTGTATTGCTATATAGTTTAAATAACAGTAAAAAGTAACAATTTTTAATAACAAAAATCAATAAATAATATATTGAAAAATGTTACACAATTAAATTACAATGGGGCAACACACATTGCAACTTAATTTACGATATGGCAAAACGAATCTTTATTCAACCACCATTTTCGAAAACTCGAATCCGCATCTCGCATTTTTTGCATCTCCCTATTCATTCAGAATAAGGCGAGAATGTGAAAGCGAAAATTTTTTATATGCGAGATATCTCCCTAGCAAATATCCAGAATAAGGCTGTATATTAAAATAGTTATCTGATTTGTTCCGCGTTTTGGGTTTGGTTCTAACGCTCTGTTGTAATCATTTCTCCTGCGGAGGATATCGACATCAAAAAATAGAACGTAAGGTTCGATAATGAACGCTATATGAACTATAACCCGCATTTAGGCCTAGCTCCTGTGTGGGAGGTACCAGAAGAAGTGAACCGATATTCCCCATCTTCGAACTTGAACCAAGTTTGGAAGAAATAATATTTTCTGAAACAAATTTGGTCCAAAGAAACATGGGGTCTAGAACCATTTAACTGTGTCGAAGTGTATACACCCTCCTTAGCCATAAAGCTGATGGTATATTAACCATTAAAAATTTCTGAAATTTGTTTTATATTTTACATTATGGTTTACATAATCGGTTTGTAGAAATTTCGATATAGGTCCACTTTTTGTATTTTCCCTATATCTTCATTTCAAGTACCTGTCAGTATATCTATGGTGGAGGGTATCCAAAATTCGGCCTGGCCGAAACTTAACGCTTTTTCACTTGTTATTGTTCTTTCTTCTTTTTTCTGAAAATACTAAAATAGGAAATTTATGTTAGATTTGGGATGCACAGGCCCTAACTGTGTCTGCGTCACTCGGAGATCTTCCGGTACCTACATTGGGGTCGTAGAGGGTAAAAATAAATGGAAGTGGCTGTAGATGAAAAGGAAAGAAAAGAAGCAGATAAAACGGTATACGTGTTCAGAAGCGCTGTCCCAGCTACTTTAAGACATGCGAAAAGTGAACACCCACTAATCTATACCGTTGGCAGGCCAAAACAGAACAGCGACATCGAAAATGCTCGATCGTCTCAAAATTACTCATTGATTTTTCAAATTGGAAGTTTGTTTTACCTAATTTATATTCGACCACTCTTAACGCATTCCTTTATATTTAATTTCTCCATGTCTTGGTATCGTATTTTATGAAGTTCTACTAATATGTCTAATGATCTGTAGAATCCTTGTGAATGTGGCTTTGATTTGCTTCAATCTGTTTTAATAATTGCAAAACTTGCTCAATTTCCTAATGCTACATTTAAATAGTGCGCCCAAATCAGATGCGTTTCTTCATGGATGGATGAATTTCACCGCTACTACGGGAATTGCTATTCTACGCTACGGGAATTGCTATTCATGATTGAGCTGTATAATTGTGAGAAATGGATAATCCTTTAATAATGACGCCTTGATTATGAATCTTTAAAAAATTGTTTGTTACAGTAGATAGTGGATATAAGCACATCTGATATATGAAATCATATAAGAAATATTTCTTATATGCGTATGTACGCTTATAAGAAACAACTTTCTTATATCCGATAATTCCATATAAGAAAAAAATGCATATAAGATAGAAAACTCCGGTTTTTTTGAGTTTCTTATATCCGATATCTACTGTACTAATATTAAATATGTTCGTTAGCATTGTATGCATTTATGTATGTTGCAATCAAAATTCTATATTTTATTATGAATTAATTCATACAAATAAATATTTATTTAATTAAATATGTAGATTATAATCAAAATTCTTTTTTCATTGTAGTTTCTATTTTTTATTTTAATAAATTCTTCTTTTCCAGTAGATGCTAATCGCATCCGATACATACATACAGATGTACATTTGTTTTGTTGTTGATTTTCATAAAAAGCCATCCATTATACAATCAATGTTTTTGGGGGAGGGCAGCCCATCCTTCAATCCATCCACTCGACATCAATGCAAATTTTCCTAATTAAGGTTTATTCAACGCCTATGCTAGGTTATCCTTTCTTATGTGTTCGTCTCGTCGTATGTTATGTTGCAGGCCGAGGCATAATCGAACTAAGCTCTTTTGAACTTTTGCAAACATTCGTATAGAGTCAAACACTTTGTTTCGGGCATCAAAAAGAATACACACAATCCCAGTAGCATGCATAGAAATCCCATGATGAAGAAGAACAGCATCGCATTAATGGTCGCCGAGGCCGATACCAAAGCCAGTGCCAACTGGAGTGTATGCTCGCCAATCAATACCGCTGCCACGCACTTACCCTTCAGCCTGACGGTAAATGCCTCCGATAGATAGACACTGGCCGCCACGGAGACCCCCACGCAAATGAAAAATTGGAACAGCAGCATTAGCAGGGCAATAATTTCCAAATCTAGTTGAACAATGGCTGAGTTAGTATTTGCCAAATATTCCATGATGCCACCAGTAATGAGCATAAATATTGTGGCCGGCAGCATTGTTGCCACGCACATTTTGCGCCGACCGTATCTATCGATTAACAGGCAACCCAAAAAACTGCCACATGCTCCCGTGGCCGCCATCGTGTACAAACAATTGGTGTCACAATTGAAGCCTAACCAACTGGCGGACAAATAGACGCGATTGAATGGCTGTGACATTGTCAGCGTAACAAAACCGCGTAAAATAAACAATTTGAATAATGGACCGGCGTTGCACTTTCGAAAGACATACCAGCCACTCTGGTCAGCATCAATTGCCATTAATTGGACACAGTCCTCACGCACGCGCATCACTTCCGTGCTGGTCAATTGGCTGCCGATGAGTTGTTTCAGGACATTGTTCGCTGCAGGTTCACGCTGCAGTTGCATTAGCAGCAGCGGCGATTCGATGCGTAGTCTAAATGCCGCAACGATGGCGGCTAAACCCAAACATGCCACCGCAATGCCGTGAATTTGATCGGGCTGTATATTACGATAGCCCGTTGGTGGTTCGAGTGCATACCACATATATGTGAATGTCAGTTGCATTAGAATGCCGAACCAGAGAGAGCATCGTTCCGTGGACATGACAAAACCGCGCATTTCCTTGCTGCACATTTCGGGGCCAACGACGAATGTCTGCACTTGTGTTAAGCCCAATGCCGCACCCTCAAATATACAACTGAAAATCAGGGCAATGAACGAGTTGGGTAATATAACGAATAGTACTCCACCGACAATGAGTAGAGAACCACTGGTCAGCTGGGTAATGAAATGAAAATGTAATTAATTAGTAGTAGAGAGTCAGTAGGAGATAAACACTAAATAAAATTAAATTACGTATTTGATGGATGGATGATTGATGTTTTAAAATGTAAAGTACGATGCTACGTTCATGTGAATAACATTTTGTAAATTTAAAATTTTGAGTGTATTTCCTACTGGAATGTTTATAGTAAAATAGTAGGCTAAAGAATAATAAAGCAGCCTATTCCGATAAATTACCAGCCGAACTATTCAAGACCGGTGGTCAGATGCTGGTAAGGAGCATGCACCAATTGTTTAGTACAAATTGGCTAGATGCATGCATGTCCAATAGTTGGAACATAAGCACAAAAAAAGGAGATCATACACAAAAAAGGAGACAAAACGATATGTGCCAACTATAGAGGAATTATCCTATCAATATGCTATCCAGCGTACAGTTTGTACGACTGAAGCCAATGGCCAATGACATTTTATTGGACCATACTAATGCGGCTTTAGGACTGACAAATCCACCATTGACCAGATTATTTACTCTGCGTCAAATCCTAGAAAAGACCCACCAAAAACAAATCGACATTATTTGCATGAATGAAACCGCATTCTACAGCCCTATCCGTTCAGAGGGGTTTACAGCCATTTCTGCGTTCGGGATTCCTGCAAAATTAATACGGCTATGCAGGATATCTTTAACTGGCACAAAATCAGCAGTTAATGTAGAAAAATACCTATCGGAGACCTTTGATACCGAACGGTAGTACATACAAGGTTATAGTTTGTCGTGTGATCTCTTTATCATCCTGCTGGAAAAGGCCATACGAGAGGCAAAGGTGAACAGAAATGACACTCTGTACACCAAACAAAACATGTTACTCGACTAACACCGATGACATCGACATAATTGATCGAACACTGCGAGCGGCAACAGCCACCTTTGAACAAATTGAGAACGAGTCTGCTAAAGTGGGTCTGGTCCAGTAGACTCGGACCAACAGTGGAACTTGGAAACTACAGCTTCGAATTAGTTAATGATATTATATACCTTGGTACCGTCATAAATAAATTTCATGACAAGAGTTTTGAAATTCGGAGAAGGATAGTGTTGGCCAATAGATGCTACTATGGTCTAAGTAAGCTACTTACACTCGCCAAGACGCGATACCACCCGTGCTGTTGTATTGATCTGAAACAAGGGTAAATGCGCATGCAGATGGGTCAACTCTTGAAGAGTTTGAGAGAAAAAATCTCCAAACGATCTCTGGACCGACCTGCATCGACGTTGAATATGGCCGTCGAATTAACCAAGACCATCTATTGTTGGACATCGAGCTGCAGCGACTACGACTAGGATGACGATGCCCCAGCTCAAAAGGCATATAAAGGCGAGCCAACCGAGTCACGTAGGAGGGAAAGGCCACAAATTCGATGGAAAGATCAAGTGGAAGACAACATCTCGGAATATGGTTTTTCAAATTGGAAGAGCTGCGCAAAAGACTGACGTGCCTGGAAATCTTTTCTAAGCTCGATATATGATAAGAATGTAACAACTTGGAATGCCAAATTAGAGCCTTTTAGGTTTGGAAAATGCGGCTATAAGCCACAAACCGAATAATTATATGAAATGTATGTCAAAATATGGGCCCATAATGCTGATTTTTTTCACATGTTTTTTTATCGGAATTGACATTAATTTGGTATTTTGTATTAATTTGGTATTTGTATAGCAAACTTCTATACTGAAAATTAATATAGACCCAAGTATAGAGAACCTCCATAGTAAAAAATTATTAATTTTGCGCACATGTGTATATTGCTACTACTATTAGAATGTTTGGTATTGATAATGGAATATATCGATCCACTATATATAACAGAATTGACTGTTTTCAACAGAATTGGCTGTAATATAGAATTTAGGATTCTCAATATTGGTGACTTGAACATAATAGACTAATGAAGATGTTAAAAATGTACCCGTTATCCTTGAGAGAGGACACTTGATCAGCGCGACTGCAAAGGTTCGACGTCGGGAAGTCGACTGGATGCATCCTAGAATTCTTAATCGAGTGTAGAAAATGGAGAGACAAGCAGGGCTCCTGATCATTCGGAGAAGAGCGGCCAAGCTAACAAGAAGTTCCCGAGGATAGGAGAGATCAGCAACGGAGAAAGAAAGAGAAAGATGGGTGTGAAATAGTGAAGAGATTTATTATGATAAGTGATTAACCTAACCGAAAAAATGAGTCGTCGTGGGCCTTTGTACAACGAAAAGTGATTTTAAGCAAGCCGAAATAAACAAACGTCGTGGACCTTTATTCAAAGCCAAATGATTTAAATAAACCGAGATCGTGGGCCTTCATCCAAAGAAAAGAGATTTTAAACAAACCGAAATAAAGAGCATATAACAGAAATAAAGAGCCGCCTAAGAGGGCCTTTATAGAAAATTGTTTATACCCTGAAAAGCGTCGAGGCTTATATCGAAAGCAGCAGCAGGGAACGAATGCCTAATCCGGATCGATACAACCAGTAATTTCTTCGTCTTTAGTTATTTGTGATACCAACAGCCGTAACGGGCAGTAGCAGAACAGAGCTAGATGTTGCAAACTTTAAGAATTTAAGTATATGGAATTTGTGTATCAGCTTACGTTTCTAAATAAAGCGAAGTATTCTGAATTTAAAAAAAAAACTACATTTTTTCACTCTGGGTCACTTCAATATAAATTTTCGGTGACGAACCCTTGTCGTTACATTTTGGAATTTATTCTACTTGGAATTTATTCTCCTTTTGAATGCCCTACCTCAGGGTAGGGTATAAAAAATCAAGTTACTTACATGTGCAATATTTTTCGATACACGTCCAACGAACATTGAAGCGGCTATACATCCCACGATAGCGCCAAAAAATAACGCCACTATTAACAGACAACTATCATAGTCGTAATCAAAACGATTTGGCGGTGATTCGTATACGGTCCATGCCAATTTTAGACCACCGGCAAAGAGAATTAACGATGCCGGCACTGTCAGCTGTAATTGGATGCGACAATGCCATATTTGCTGAAACCATGTTTGACTGTCCTCCTCCTGAATTGTGGGTAACATTGGCATTGTGTTGATCGAAATTTATTTTACCGATATTCCTTTTTCAATATTTCAACATTTTGTGCCTGATATTTATGATTGAAAATTTTTCGTGTGTTTTATGAGAAAAAAATTGTTGATGCACGTATGGTGACCGACGGCAAATGACTCAATATATTTTTTTGAATTCGACGAAGTGACACTCTTTTCTATCAATAGTAAATATTTTATTTATATTAACGATTTACGATTGGCGATTTCCCTTCATTTTTATGCAGGCTTCATGTATCTCTGTTTGACGTTACTAGACAATCTACTGTGCGCTTTAACAAAATGTTGGCAAAGCGTTCGCATGGGAAGCTAAGTGGCCCCCATTATCAATATACAGTAGTTTAGAAGGTATCAAAAGTTGGACAAAAAACAAGTAAACATATATTTAAATTCGGGCGTAGCGGACATTTTATACCCTCCACGTGGGTATATAACAAACATAGAAACAATCAGGGATTCAAGGAGAAAACAAAGTACCAACCTGAAGAGATTCAGGTGGCAGTAAAAGCCTTAAATATTCAAAAACCACATAACGATACTCCCCGAATTATCAATCGACCTACCATTGATTATTTCGTTTTCTGCTGGTAGCAATGTATCATTGCAAAAGTCCTCACCGATTCAATGTATTTTGAATGTTCAAATTTTTTCCAATATACCATTTCTTAAGTCGAATTCTAGTAACAAAATTTGACATATCGACGCCTCCGAACCATAGAATGCTAAGTCGACTTAGCATGTTTTAAAGTTCTTTGCGTTTTTAGATACTACGGTCCTTCATTTATAATCTCTGAAATTTTGATAATCATCGGCCAATCCAAACCAAAGTTATAAGCAAACATGTACTTAGCATGGCCCGTAAGATATATGAAACTTCCATACTTTGAGAGCTTCTACTGACAAACTCACTTTTCAGACTTAGAATACTATGGTTCGGAGGCGCCGATATAATTGAGATTAACATTCGAGGGACAAATTTTATCCCCATTTAAACCACTGTATTGCGAACCCTAAGCACATTTTTTGTATCAAATGATAAGATAGACTTCACTGTTTGAAATTCTTATCAGCGGTATGTGTATGGCCCATAAACAAAATATCGATTGTATAGAATTAAATTTATTGGATAAATTTGTATTTAGCCGATGAATTTTGACTTTTTTGATTTTCAGTCAGAAATATAAATTTATTTTGCCACTCTTTTAAATCCGCGCCCACCTACATACATATATTTTGATAGCATTCATAGAATTGGTGGCGAACAATAATTTCGATAATCGGTTTTAAATGACAGAGAAATTAAATATACATATGTGTTTTAATACAAATTTTGATCAGACTAACTGATTTACCTAGTAGAGATCAGGCTAATCAAGTCATTCGGTTAGACATAATATTGATATAAGCTACGAAAAAAAGTAGCACTTATAGATTGTTAAAATTCCTAGAAAGAGTTCTTCCGTAAGTCTATTTGTTCTTGAACATCGGTTTTGTTGACAGATACAATCCATATCTGTAATATGTTGTAGGTCATCATAGACTACACCACACTGTAGTATAAGGCATTATGTCATGTTTGTAACATGCAAAAGGAAAACAGATAAATCTGTAGTTACATTAGGTTTAGGAAATTTTGACTTTTTTTCTCAAAAATGACTTCGGGACATTCTCATCCATTCTCACAACAAGGCGTAATCAACGTAGTCGCTGCAGCTGACGTGTCTGATTATGTCGATGTTTGAGAACAGATGGTACAACTCATGGTTCATTCGACGTCGATATCTTTCAGAGAACTTTTCTCTTAAACACTCCAAGAGCTGTCTCATCTGCTTACTTAGACTATAGTAGCATCTGTGGGCCAACACTATTCTCCTCCGAATTTCAAAACTGATGTCATTAGCTTTATTTATAGCGGGTATATAAAATCATTAATTACCTCGAAGTTGTAGGTTTCAAATTCAACAGTTGGTCTGAGTCTACTGGACGTATTTAGTGTTGATACCAGAACCACTTTGTCAGACTACTTCTCAATTCGTTCAAAGGTGGCTGTTACAGGTCGCAATGTTCGACCCATTATGTCGATGTCATCGGCGTAGGCGAGTAACATGTGTTATTTGCTGTACAGAGTCTCATTTCTGTTCACTTTTGCATCTCGTATGACCTTTTCCAGAAGGATGTTAAAAAGATCACTCGACAAGTTGTCACCTTGTCTGAATCCCCCTTCGGAGGTCCTTTCCAACTCCCACTAGTGACCTTGTGCCAGTGCAGGAATGCTGAACGCAGACGTGGTTTTAAACACCTCTGAACAGATAGGACTGTCGAATGCGGCTTCATAGTGGATGTCTTTTTGGTGGGTCTTTTCTAGGATTTGACGCAGAGTGAAAATCTGGTCAATGGTGGATTTTCCAGGCCTGAAACCGAATTGGTATGGTCCAATAATGTCATTGACCATTGGCTTCAGTCGTTCACACAGTACGCTGGATATAACTTTATATGCGATGGGAAAGAGACTTATACCTCTATAGATGGCCCATACCGTCTTGTCTTCTTTTTTGTGCACGGGACAAAGGATGCTGAGATTCCAATCATTGGACATGCATTCCTCTAGACAAATTGTACAAATGAGCTGGTACATGCTCCTGGTCAGCAATCTTACCACCTGTCTTGAATAGTTCGGCTGGTAATATCGGCACCTGCTGCTTTATTGTTCTCCCGTCCATTAATTGGATTGGATCTTGGGTTTTCAAAATGCTCCTTCCAGATCCTCAACCCGCTGTCTGTATCTGTCATCAGGTTTCCATCTTCATCTCTACATGAGAATGTGCCTGCGCCAAAGCATTCGGTTTGGTGTTTTACTCATTGGTAAAATTTCCAGACTTCATTCCGACTCGTGTACATCTCGATTTGCTTACGTTTTTCTTGTTCTTTCTTCTTTTTTCTGAAAATACGTTTCTCCTCTCTCCTTTTCTCTCGATAATTCTCCATTGCATTGTGTGTTGCTATTGTCGGCAGTGATGCCCGACACTCCTGATCGTACCATCTTGATGGTGGTCTTTGATACCCAAGTGTTGCTTTTGCTGCAGTTTGTAGGGAGTGGGCAATTCTTTGCCAGGAGTGAATAGCAAGTGGGTAAGTTTAGCGGAGTTGGCTTCTTCTATCTGTTGTGCTTGCAGCTTTCCGACTTTAAGTTTCCGTGTTGTGTCAGATCGCACCTTTGCTGCGCCAGTTATGTTCAACGTGCGCACTATTTTAATCATTGTTGAATGTTGCTACCCCAGGTGACACCACATGGAGGTCAGTGTTCACAATTGAGATGAAAAAGGGACCGAGATAAGTTCATTAAACGATACACCCAAATATTCGATATTATGGGGATTTTGGTAGGTTTTTCAACAAAATTGGCTGTAATTTGCTATGTTTGCTTCTACTTTATAGGGTAGCACCCATATGACGACACCCCCATTATACAATATTTAGACACGTTTTTATTAACGTACTGTCATTCCGTTTGGAACACCTCGATTCCACATCCCGCTGTTAGATATCTTGTTAATTTCAATCATCTTTTTCTAGAGTATTTATACGCTTCCCCACACTGTGGTATAGGGTATTATGTCTTTGTGCATATATTTGTAGCAGGCAATAGGAATCATGATAGACCCATGGTTGCTTTTGAGAATAAGCATAGAATCACTTTCTGAGTCGATTTATGCATGTCTGTCTGTCCTTCCATCCATGTATTCTTGTATGCAAAGTATAGGTCTCATTTATGATCCGATTTCGAAGAAATTAAGCTCAACTCATTTGTTTGGCTCAAGAACGAACCCTATTTAAATTGGAGAAAATCGTTTCAGATTAAGATATAGCTCCCATATTTAGTTTCGTCCGATTTTATGTAAATGGGCCAAACATAACGACGATTTTACTCGTTTAAGGGGACCCCCCCCATTCTCGGGGTCAAAATTTTTGTTGACTTAATTCCAATCTACACTAATTCAAGAATGTCCCTGCAAAATTTGAAGTTAAAATCTCAAGAACTCTTGAAGATATAGCCGATTTATTGTGTTAGCATCAAGTGACGGCTGAAGGGCTTCTCAAACTTTAAACGCGTTTTTCTCTAAACATTTTTTTGCGAATGGCGGGCACGATAACTCAAAAACTAATAACCCAATCGATTTCAAATTTTTACACGTTTCTCTGTGAGTGTATAGCTATCGTATGAACTAGGATAAAGCCAATCGGTTAAGATCTTCCTTATTTTTTAACTTGGTTTTTGGTAAAAAATTGACGATTTTCCAAAAATATTTTTTCAAAGGTCCGCCATTTTGTTAATTTTAGAGCGAGGTCAATAATCCTAGTTCATACGAGAGCCAGACATGTACTCTTTCCAACACCGTTGGAATTTTCGGATTCCGATGTTCCAGTGAGGAGTTATCATGCCCGCCATCAAAAATAAGGACTTTTCTTTGATCACAAAAAACAACAACAAAACAACAACAAAATTTTTTCGTAAATTATTTTTCTTCCTTTTGAAATCTTCAAATATATATGTGCAAAGTTACAAACCTTAACAAGTATTGGTATTCATTTACCAGCCCATTTAAAAAATCGAGAATGGGGGGGTTCCCTTAAAGGAAATTTTAATTTAATAAAATTTCTTTATAACTACTAGCTAAAATGTTTTTATTCGTGGACTCCAATTACAACGACTGCGAATGCTTACTAACGAAAATTCCATTTCATTAAATTAGATTAAAAATAAGAGTACATTTTATTGAAATATATTGAATAAGAGTACATTTATTGAAATAATTCTTATATTATGTTTGCTTATTTATAAGTCTTCGAAATTTCACCAAACATTCGCGCAAAGTATCCTTCTTGGTTTCCGGCATTGCCGTTACGGCTATAACAAAGAACCCAATCGACAGCCCACCAACGGTGTAAAAGTATTCGGGCAAATCGTAGACATTGAAACGCCACGGTTCCGATCGTATGGCAATAACGACGATGTGTATGGACATTTCCACAATGAAGGCAATGGCCACAAAATATGGCTTAACGGCCAATGGAAATGCCTCGGTAAGATAAACGAAAGATGATGCTGTAGCGATGCCGGCAAATAATTGATAAGTTATTAGCAGATAGAGGACAATGGTCATTGTCTCAACGTTTTTTATATTCTTCGTATCGTCGAAAATGCATCCAATGGCTAAGCAGAGGCAGGAACAACAAAAGAAACCTACAATCATTGGAGTTCTACGTCCCTTGGAATCCACTATAAATGTGACCACCATCGTTCCGATCCATGCCAATATTCCGTAAATGTAATATGTCCAGATGGCATCCGGACTGTAAGCAATCGTGGAGGCGTAAGACAATGCAAAGTAGGTGTAAAAACATGAACTGGCTGCTACAAATACCCGATAGAAGGATAGTTTCACTAGAGCTGGAAGTCCGATGAGGGCGCTTTGTAGAAATGTATTCTCCTTATTTTCAGCCAAATAGCGTTTGTGCTCCATCAGCTGTTCATAGGTTTCGTGCGTTATTGTAAATGGTCGCTGTAGGCGTCTTAACACATCGATTGCAATCTCCTCCTGACCACGTGCCAGATAAAAAATTGGCGATTCCAATTGTAGCATAAATGCAATAATGAAACTTATAAATCCCCAAAGAATTGACAGTATCCCCAACATTTGGGACCCATCGAATGATGAATCCGGTGGCCAAATATACATATAGATAATTTGTAGTAATATGCCCAGTTGAAAGCACATTCCAATGGCGGCTGCATTCATGCCACGCATACCTTTGACACATTGTTCGCCGACCAAAACGAATGTTAATGGAAATACCAGGCCCAAGGCGATGCCATTGATGTAACGTGCCGCCACTAAGGAATCCAATGAGCTTGAATTGATAACTAATAGAATACCCGAAATTGTTACCAACAGCGAGGCAAAACACTGCAGAAAACACAATGAACCATCAATTAAAAATCTTGTTATCATGGATCTAACTAAAATTACCGTTATTATCTTCTTGGGAATTCTATTGCAAAGGATTGCTCCTAGAATGACACCTATTATTGCTCCAATGAACCAACTGATTGGTAAGTGTTTATTGGTAAAATAAGCCCCTTTGCCGGGATCCGCTAAGAACATACCACCAGAGGTGAATATTAATACAGCTGAAAGAAGGAGATTGCGTCAATAAAAAAACCATCATTGAAAAAAAATACGAAAAAAAATATTGTTAAATTTGTCTACATCGACACTTATATATACTACACAAAACTTCAAACCTCTGAAATTCTTCATCGGTGACTGTAATTTGGTATTTCAGGTTCGTGGTGGGTAAAAACTTTTTCACGGAACATGTTTTGATATATCCTCAATATAAAGGTTCTAAATTTCCAAAGATTCCTATACTCCAACAGTAATCTTAATGCAAGCTCTATCGTGTCACATAAATTCAAATTGTATACAATCTAGTACCATTTGGTACAAATTAATAGACATTTCCATAACAATGTACCTCAAAAATTTAATAGAAATTATTTTTCTCAAATTAAAAATTTTAACCCCATCGATTCGCTCAAATCCAAACTGTACCAAAATTATTACCACTTAGTACGAATTTCCAAAACTACCAACATACCCCAAATCTTATACTCCGACAGTAATCTTAATTCCAAATTTTCTTGATTCCAGATCTATTTTTTCACCATTAGTACACATTATTATAAATTTTCTTAAACACGTATCATAAACATTTATCAGAAATAATTTTTCCCAATTTCAGGATTTTAGCCCAAATCTAAATTGTATCAAATTTAGTACCATTTAGTCCTAATAAGTACAAACTTCCTACTTACCCCAATCATGCACTTCAACGGTTAAACTTTATTTCAAATTTTCACACGTACCTCAGAAATAATTTTTCTCAATTTAAGGATTTTAGCCCCATCGATTCACCCAAATCCAAATTGTACCAAATTTAGTACTATTTAGTCCCAATATGTACGAACTACGTACATACCCCAAACATACACTTCAACGCTAATCTTAATTCCAAAATGCCAGGTTTCCAGCCCGATCGGTTCGCCCAAATTTAAATTGTATCAAATTTAGTACCACTTGGTACACATAAGTACGAATTTTCAAAACTTCATACATACCTCAATTCTACTCTTCAATTCTCAATTTTATTCTATCCGTTTACCCAAATCAAAATTGTACCATCCGTTCCTCCAAATTGTACAAATTTTAGTACTGTTTAGTACTTTTCGTATAAATGAGTACACACATCCGACATATCGAACCTAATTTTCAAACTTGATTCATTTTTTGGACTTTTTTGTCGTACCCTTTACCGAATATCGGAAAATATATATCGGAGCTATATCTAAACCTGAACCGAATTCAATAAAACTTCGCATATGTCTATCTGCACCTATCTCACTACGCTGCCCAATATTTTGTCACAATTGGACAAATCTTGGGAGTTTGGTGCACCATTTAACTAAAATCGGACGAAACTGTATATGAGAGCTATATGTATATCTGATCAAATTTCAATGAAACTTAACACACTCTAACCTAGTCTTAATCGGATACAATTTTGGTCCACCAACCATTTACATAAAATATATATGGGAGCTATATCAAAATCCGAACCGATTTCATCAAATTGTACTAAATTCAGTACGCTATGCAAAATATTGAGTCAATCGGCTTGAATTTGACTATATTTACCTAACATGATGCTAGAAGACGGAAGAAAACAGAAAGATCAGCAGAAATGGTTCGAAAATAAAAAAAAAAAACGACATGATCGAAACCCGCGTCGCAATGGTCGAAATATGGTCATGAGCTGAACATATCGCAATATTCCAACAAAAAGAAAATAAACTCAAAAGAGCTAAAGAGTTGCTTCGCTTGGCCGAAAGTGGTGAACTGCCGAATTTGGTTTTCTCCGATGAGAAAACATTTGTTGTCCAGCAGTTTGTAAGTAAACAAAATGATCGTGTTTACTTGCCAAAGAGGTCATATCGTGGCATCAGAATATATGCCGAATATTATAGCGAAAATATTCAGGAGGGTGTATTAAAGCCTGGGGCACGCTAACATTTTGGCCGAAAACCTTGGACATTCCAACAGGACTCAGCGGTGGTGGATTATTGTGTCTGGAGTTTTTTAAAAAACAAGATTGACACTAAAAAAATACCAAAGTTTCGATCAGCTCAAGCAAGCTCTGAGGTAATCGACCTCAGATCAACATTCGGGCAGCGTGTGACGGTTTCATTGGCCGTTTGATGGCCATAATTCGTGCCAAAGGTGACCAATTCGAACAAATCTAAACTTATTCTAAAATTGTATGCTATTTCCGACATTATTTTCTTTCATTTAATAAAATTAAAAAAAAAAAAATAAATTATTACGTTTGACTTTGTTGCAGTTTTTTTATCTGGGAGCTATCAGATATAGATACAGCTGGGAGCTATATCTATATCTGATTCAGTGAAACTTAACGCACTCTAACCTAGTCTTAATTCCATACGTTATCCCAAATTTAAGATAAAATGTGCATAAAATCGTACGAATCTATATATGGAAGCTATGTATGTCAAAATCTGAACCGATTTCAACTAAACTTCACATACATCAAATTGAGCCTATTTCAGTACGCTGTGCAAAATGTTGTGTCAATCGGCTTAAATTTGACTCTTTGGTGCACCATTGGCAAAAAATCGGACGAACATATATATGGAAGCTATATCTATCTTGTGCCAAATAAATGAGCTGTACCAAATTGCATCAAAATCGGATCATAAATGCGACCTGTATAAATCGACTCAGAAATTGATTCTATGCATATTCTCGAAAGAAACCATAGTGACATTGTGCGCCGCAATCTTCGACTTTTATAGTCTTATGTATGATAGATTAGACCACAGATAATTATTTTCTGGTTCTCTGGAAATCAATCTTATCGGAACAATACTTAAATATTTTTTTTTTGTTGTTTCAAATCCAATCCAATTGAATGTAGATACACTTACGTATTTGACGGGTATTTGACCTTATACAAAGTAGGCATTTGTTTTTATCATTTGGCACAAAGAAGGATCTTGTTGGCATTAAAATCGGGCACTATAGGTAATTTTGTCGTTTTCTTATAAAAAATATTTTTATTCTAAAAATTAATTTATACCAAGGGTTTGGTTTATTTTCTATACTTGGAATCTGCTCGCAACTCAATATTTGTGTCGGGCCTATTTTTGTATATCAAGAATTTTCTACATATGTTTTTTACCCAGCAGAACCCCTTCGATTGAAAATACTCTACATTTAGTCCGAATTTGTAATTTTTCTTTCATAGTTAAACCCACCTGCTCCAGCCGAATTCGATTGTGGTTTATTTTTGTGATTTTTTCTGCACCATCCTTCCGGTTCTTCAACGCTTGCCACTGCGGGATATGTTGGCACCGCCGATTTCGGTAGATAGTAGTCAGCCGATTCCTTTGGGCTCGATGGATAATTATTCGACATTGTTTGCGACAACAATTACTGCATAATTTTCCCAAGATTTCGTTATTTTGTTCAGTTGTGTCGTATCACAACAGCGTTTGAATTATAACTAATTGTGTTTTGGATATTGTTGATGTTCTTTTGACAAAAACACGAAATTATTTCATTGTAGGCATTCGCCAGTCATATGTTAACGTTATCAGTCAATAATTTCAAATGATAAGAATGAATATCAATAGTTAATTCTCAATGCATCGTCTGTGGAGGTACGTTGGAGGGGACACTGTACAGTGCTGCTCAAAACGTTTACACTAAAAAAAAGATTATCTACAATGAATACAATTGTATGTTTATAATAGCACGAGACCGCTACTTCGTTAGCGGATATTCTCGAATTCACAGTGACTTATTCAGAATTCTGAGAACAATAATCCTATAATTGATTTTTTGGAAATTGATATTTCTATTACTCCTTGGGCGTTCGGACGGAATGTGATATATCCGTCGACGTTTTGCTAAAATCCCATATACAAAGGTTCCGCCTAATTTTCGGAAGATTTACGATGTTAGGACGTTCCATCAGAAAAGGCAATAATTTCGAATACAAGGATTTCGGAGGCTCACTTAGGTATAGGCAGTGGCGCCCAATTTTCAGTATAATTATTAAAGTTTTATTATAATTATTATAGGTTTGAATATTTGGGGAGGATACCAGAAGAAGTGGGCCGAAAACCATCATATTAGGTTTTTTGGTAAAATATTGACACGTTGTGGAGGAGGTATAAAAATTACCTATTTTCCGATTTGAATGAAATTTTGCAATTGTCACATATTTTGTCAAAAGAAAAAAAATCGCTTCAGATTTAGATTTATCCGATTGAGATAAAAATGTTGAGAGCGTATTAAAATTGAAGCAGGTTTATGCATGTGATGTTTTGTTGAAATTGGTTTAGATTTAGATATAGCTCCCAAATATATAAATGGTGCACAAAAGAGCGAAAGAAATTGGGAAAAGACACATGTGTGTTATGGTTTATTGTTCAGATAAATTTAGATAAAACTCCCATATATATTTTCGTCCGATTTTATGTAAAAGGTGCACCGAAGAGTCTATGTTTGTTCGATTTACACGTAATTTGGTCGAGAATATTGAATTATGTTTAGAGTGCTGTGTATTAGGTTTTGTAAAAATCGGTTCAGTTTTAGATATAGCTCCCATATATATGTTCGTCCGATTTTATGTAAATGACACACCAAATTCCCAAATTTTGTCCGATTAAGATGAAATGCTGGATAATGTATTGGATTGAGTATAGTGCACCAATCTCACAAGATTTGTCCGATTCATACGAATTTTCGCATATCGCATTGAATTGAGCCTAGAATAATATGCGTTAAATTTTGGAGAAATTGGTTTAGATTTAGATATAGCTCCCATAATATTTTCATCCGATTTTATGTAAATGACACATCCAATT